CACCAGGAGGGCGAAAGCTGAGTTGCGGAGGGGCAGGCAGGTGGTCTCATCAGCAGCCAGCGTCTGCCCGGCGGGGCACCGGCACTGCCCAGCTTGCCTGGAGCTCAGAAGGCAGAGGTGGGAGCAGCCACGCTCCGCACAGGGGTTGAGGGCCATGGGGCGCAGGGTGGGGTGCACCACCTGTGGGAAGGGCAGGCTCAGCCCCACAGCCCCTCCAGCGGCCAGCAGTGGAGCTGAGCATGACTGGCACTACACTGTGCTCCCCAGGCTCAGACACAGCCCGGCTGGGGCAGGATACAAGGCAAAGATGATGGTCCAAGGGGACCAGAAACTGTTGGACACAGAGCTGTTCCCCAAGCACCTCTGGGTTGGGGCTACAGCTCCCAGTGGCTCTGCCCTCAGAGGACAACAGGGATGGGCAGGGTGGGAGCCCTAGCAGAGGACAGTGGGGTTTGGGGCTCTCTCAGCTATGTACCTGGAGTCCGTGGGGCTGCCCATGTCGCTTGAGCAGCACAGTCCTGTTCTTGCCACTAGTCTTGTCCACCTGCTGCACAGACCACACCTTCCTCTCTGACCAGTAGAGCTGCCCCTCACACACAGCTGCTGCAAAGGGGCTCTGGACCCAGCCCAGCTGCAGGACCTGGCAAAGAGGCTGTGAGTGTCCACCCTGCCACCCATCAGGGTCCTGTGACCAAAGCCCCTCCACACACCTTTACACCGGTGCCATCCAGACGTGCAGAACCGATGCTGCCCAGCTTCTCATCCATCCAGAAGATTCTCCAGGTGGGGAGATCAAGGGCCAGTGCTGTAGGCCACCCCAGCCCCTGGGCCAGCAGCACATGTCGCCGGCTCCCATCCATGGTGGCTTCCATTAGCTGTGGGTGGCTGCCCACCTCTGACAAGTACAGCAGCCTAGTGGGAAGAAGGGGTGCTAACCCACAGACCTGTCACAGCATCAGCCCAGTATCAGGGTAGCACAGAGGAGCAGCACGAGGCTTCTCATCCCATCAGAGATACACTAAGAACTCCATCCAGGGCAGGGGCAGGTGCCTGGGCTCCTTCCCCAGTTGCACAGCCCCAACAGCATCCAGATAAGGCAATCCCAGCTCATCCCCAGCCTGTCACCTGCCTCCACAGAGGAAAATGGGGCTGGGCAGGGATAGCAAGGAGGTTCTCATGTCCTCTTGTGAAGTCTTACCCTGCCAGAGGCTGGAGCACCAGAGAGTGGGGCTGGTCCAGGTCTCCATCCATCACCACAGTGTACTCTGGTATCCCTCGCCAGGCAGTCCCCAGGCGAGTGGCCAACACCTGCCCTCCTGCTCCATCTGTCCAGTACAGGTTCCTCCCAAGCCAGTCCACTGCTATACAGTCTGATCTCACACCTGCAACATGCCCAAGAGTCAGCACCTAAGGGGCAAAAGCTCTGGCATGATGCTTCCAGCCCAGGTTGCCTCCATACCAGGGGCTCCAGCTCCTCCTAACCCTGTTCCCACCAGCACATCTCCATGCAAGGGAACACAGCCTGGCACCCCACTGCAACCTGGAGATTACACAGCCACAGAGGCCAGTCCAGCTAACCCCATGCTGTCACAGCCCACCTTTCACCAGTGTGCCTTTCTTGCCAGAGTTGAGGCCCTGCCAGCGGATGCTCTCTGTGGCCAGGTCCATCCAGTAGACTTTACTCTCCAGCAGGTCATAGTCAAGTGAGAAGACAACACGCTCCTTGTCAGCGGTCAGCAGCACCTCCTCACGCCCACTCCGCAAGCCATAGGACAACACCTCTGACTGCACGGCCACCACCAGCACGGGCTCTGGTCCTGGGGCAACACAGAGCCAAGCGGACCTTGCTCAGCACAGGTGGCCCCACAGCCCCAGCACACAGAGGCAGAGAACATAGCACTCGCAAGCATTGGAGACTGCCGGGACTCAGCCCGGCATGTCCCTCAGCTAGTGCAGATGTCTTTTCTGACTGGCCATGGCTGGCAGCAGCAGCAGCAGCAGCTCATGGCTGAGTGGGGCCTGGGAGGCCACATGGCAGAGGGGACAGGGCCATTTGCTGGGACTACACGGCTCCCCACAGGCAGCAGGCAGGGTCGGACAGGTACCCACTGGCTCCTGGTGTACCCTAGGAGGCCAGGCTCCTTCCGTGCTGCTCTGCCATCCCAGAGCTTACCAGCGAGTTTGCAGATCTGGCCATCGGGCTCCAACTGGTAGCCAGGGAAACAGCCACAGCTGTAGGACCCTGGGGAATTGAGGCACGTCTGGCTGCAGGGTCCTTCTCCCTGCTCTGTACACTCATCTATGTCCACACAAGACAGACCATCCTCAGCCAGCCGATAGCCTTGGTCACACCAGCACCGCTGTGGGGAAAGAGGCTGTCAAGGTCCCCCCCCGAGGGACATCCGAGGCTCCCTTCTAGAGCTGGACCAGGGCAGCATGGCAAGGTAACCCTCTGGGCTTCCGGCACTCACAGGGCCCCGGGGTGAGGAGTAGCAGAGATGAGCACAGGACCGCTGGCAGAGCACAGAGCAGTTTCCCCCCTCATCTGAGCCGTCGGCGCAGTCCTGCCGGCCGTCACACACCAGGTTTGCATTCAGGCAGGCCCCCAGCCCACATGGGTACTCATGGCTCTGGCAGGGAGCAGGTCGGCCTGCAGGGACATGCAGAGAAAGCTGCCCTTGTCCATCAGCTCCTTCTGCTCAGCTGGGTCAGATTCAGCTGCTCCCAAAGGGTGCCCAGGGCTCAGTGCAGCCACATCCAGAGCTGTGCCTAGAGCCTGGCTTCAGGCCACCTTAATCCCAAGGCCACCATCCCTACAAGGACATCTGCTAGAGGTCTGGGGCCACCACAGATGCTGGAAAGAGGCAACAGCACACAGGGCTTTTCGCCTTGGCACAGACACGTTCCCACCTCCCTCTGTGCTGGATATGCACCAAACACCATTCAGTTAGACACAGAAGGGATAAAAGCAGAGTGTTGCTCACAGCCAGCCTCATCACTGCCATCCCTGCAGTCTCTCTCTCCATCACAGCGCCAGACACTGGGGATGCACTCATGGACACGGGAGCAGTTCCACTGCTGGTCCCCGCACTGCCCTTCCTCCCAGGGACAGCCCTGAAAGAGCAGAGGGTGAGAAGTCCCCCCCCGCAACCCTCCCGGGAGCAAAGCCGGGACAGGCTGCGTCCCCGCCAGGGCGCCCACCTG